GTGGCGGTGCAGGACAGACAGGGCAGCCTGGCGTCTGAGTAGGGGCCCAGGGAAACGGGGCAGGAATCACGCTGGCCTCTGGGGCCTTGTGTTCCCCACAAGGAATAGACAGTCCTGAGGCCTGAGTGTGCCAGTGTATCAGGGACAGCCAGGGACAGCAGTGAGCAGCGAGGTGGGGCTGCAGCATGTGCAAGGTCTTGTACAGGTTAGTGGAAGGACCGTGGTTTTCTCGTCTTTGAAATGAGAAGCCAGTGAGGGTTTTGATCAGAGAGCTGAGTGACAGAGTCTGGCAGGTTTTAAAGGACAGTTTGGGGTGGCACGTTGAGAGTGAACCAGGGAACCAGGCAGGACTAGAGAGACCAAGTGGGACTGAAGTGGCAATCAGGCCGCACCATCTGGGGGCTTCTCCAGGGTAGTGCCCTGCAGGTCAAGAGCTGGTCAGACACTGGGGACCTGGTGGACTCATGAGTGGGGCCATGTGGGCAGGTCGGGTGTGGGCGTGAGGCGACAGGAGTTAGTGTTGGCTCCCGGAGTGTGGCCTCCGGTGGACATGGAGGTCTGCTGCTTCCTGAGCGCTGTGTCCACTGGTGCTCCCCCCTGCTCTTCAGAAATCCTAGCCAGTGCCTCCTGAGGCAGAGCACAGGCCTGCTCCTGCTTCTCCAAGCCTCGGGAAACCTACTGATGCTGAAGCCACGTCCAGGACCAGTTCTATGGTGGCCAGGCGCACCTCAGAGAGGATGGAACCACGGCAGCTGGACCGCGGTGCCGCGGGAGACCTTTTCTCTTGTGTAAGCAGGACTTCGGCCAAGAGAGTGCTTTACCTTTCAGGTTATGATACAAACTGTTTGAACCTCAAAACATAAGTCCTATTAGGTTTCTTTGTCTTTTAGGGCTATTTATACGGCTCTAGAATTCACTCTTGGTCCTAAGGAAAACCTCAGGAGGCTGCCCTTGGAGGTCAGGTGTTCCCTGAGGTCAGATGGCTCTCAGGTGGCCTCAGGAGGCAGGTAGCTAAGGCGCACTGGAGGGTGTGGATGAGGCCGCCTTGGGCTGCAAGGGAGGATGGCATCAGCTGAAAGGGGCCCTCAGCCCCAGGGGCCCCTCTGCTGCGCACGGACCCCACGTTCGCCCTGAGCGACTAAATGTGGCTCTCCTTGTTCCCATGCACTGGCCGCTTACTTGCTGTAACAAGTGCCAGGAAGTCAGCATTAATCAACTCAAACTTAATCACACGTAAATGACCTCGTTCTGTCTAGTCTGCGCAGATCCTGATCCTCTCTCACCAGTGGTCGACCCGGCAACTTGGGCTCTCGCTGCAGACACGGTGCAGGGTCAGATGGCGGGCCCCTCAGCCCACACCCTCGGCTTCCGCTCATGACCCGCTGTGCAGCAGGCCTCCTGTCCACCCACTCCAATTAAGGCTCAGGCTGGAAGACATGTGCGTGTGGGCCCCTGGGGAGAGTCGGAAGCACCAGGAGTCCGTGTGTCCGTGGAATCTTGTGTTACTATGCGTCACCATAGACCAGCGAGAGACCAGCAGGCGCCATCCTGGGCTGATGCTCAGAGAACCTGGGCAAGCTCTGTGCAGCATTAGCTGCGTCTTCTGCCGCGAGACTCGGCCACAGTGTGGGTGACACCTTGCCTCACGTCACGGGTTGGTTCTGGAGTTGACACTTGTGTTCCAACATCCTCTCCCAGAGATCAGGACCCCGATCTGCGCTGGCCTTCCTGGTCGGCTGGAGGAGACGGGGACTCAGTCTTCTCTCCCAGGTCGAAGAGTGAAAGGTGGCAGCCAAGAGCCTCCTCCAGACACCTCCAGTGGCAGGGAGCTGGCAGCCAGGGGAGAGCGCTGCAGGGGTGGGAGGGGACGTGCCCAGGGACACAGGTGCAGTCCTGAGGGCAGCCCACGACCTGGGAACAGGCAGGCCTGTCCTCTGGGGCAGGGCTAGTGGGGCGTGGGGCTGTGTTCTGCGGGAAGAGGGGCGTGATGAGACACATTCCTTGGAATTTATTCATGGAAACACATTCCATTCCACTTTTAGCCTACATTTCATTTTCTAAAAAAGCAGAGTTTTTTATCTTCTGAAAAGGATATGTATGCAGATATAACAGGGCACTGAAGTAGACGTTCCACTCAGGAAACCCGGGGTTGGAGTTTCCTGTACCTGCAGTGAAACTCCAGGTTGAGGTGCAGACGATACAAAGAAGGAGGAGGCAGACGCCCTCCAAGACTCTGGAGCCCCTGGCCAGGTCCAGGTAGCCAAGGGCACAGGCATGGCAAGGAGGGCCGGCATCCCAAGGAGGAAAGCGAGGTGCCAGGGAGCATGTGTGGGTGCAGTCCAGCCCCCAGCCCTTCACCTCAAGCCACGTGGAGGGAGAACTTGCCTGGGTGCCTGCCGGAGGACGGGTGGGAGGTCAGAGAGGACTGGGTCTGAGACCTCTCAGGAAATCTGGGGGGCAAGGAGGCCGACGAACCATTTTGGCAAAAAAGCTGGAAGTTTGCTGCCATACTCCCTGGGACCACAGTGGGAGGGCAGGGAGCTGGACGGAAACCTCCCTCAGAGCGAGGCCCCTTTGGGTGACCTCAGGTAGCTGTGGCGCTGTTCCTACATGTGAGCAGAATGTCACAGGACTGGCCCAGGCTTCGTTCCGTGCAGTGGAAAAGCTCTCGCTGTGTAAGAGGTGCAGGAGACCAGAGGGGAGAGGCCCCTGAGGACCTGCCCTGGGAAAGCCAGCTGGACCTGGTCACAGGGAGCGCTTGAACTCTGTGACAACAGGGGCCCACGGGGCAGTGTCAATGAGTGAGGTGCTGGGACTCCGCCATCACCCTCAGACGTCCAAACCAGAACAGAAGGCGCGCCCGAGGTCCCCAGGTCCCTTGCCATGGCTGATCGGGTCTAGCACAGGGCTCGGGTTGGCCAGCCCAGCAGAGAGCAGCCCGGCCCGGGGAGAGAAGGCCTTGGCCTCAAGGAACAAGATGCAAAAATGGCTCTGGGGAAACAGGTTGAAATGAGGGGCCTGGTGCAGGTGAGACGAGAGGCACAAACAGAAACCAGTCTATACTAAAAAAAAAAATGCTTATTGATCCCCAGCTCGTCTCCAGCCTAAGGAGTTAGCAGCCTGGCCCCCGATCGCTAGCCCCGGGCGTGCCAGCGTGTCTGAGGAACTGTGGGAGCAGCTCCTTCTGCCCAGGGAGCCAGCAGCTCCCCTGTCCTCCTGGTCGAGCTGCTGCTTTGCATGTCCCCACCTGAGGTCCGTGCTGTAGGTCTCGGTGCTTTCTAAAGGTCTCTGCAGAAGCCCCATTGCTCTCGCACTCTCTCGCCTCGATGCTCCCCGGTCCTGCGCCGGCTTTGCCCTGGTGGGTGTGCACACCTTAGCCGAAGAGTCTGCCCTGCAGCTGGGACTCACTTGCCAGCGATGCACTTCTGGTTTCCTCTGAGCAGGGGGGAGAAAGAATAGGCCCCGCTGTCCACCACGTGTCTGGGTTGCTGCTGCACACAGATACACTGCTCAGTGCCCCGGGTGGACGACGCTCAGCCAGGGTCGACCGTCACCCGTGTCTATTCAGAGCCTCTGCTGCTTTCTGCAGCCTGGGGTCCTTGTGTCTATTGATGCCCTAACCACCTACTGTCCTTGAGACCTGACCTGCAGGCCCTGGCAGGTGGCCTCTGGCCAGAGACCCCAGCATCAGACCCCAGGGACAGACGATGTCACCCCCTCTTCCCGCACAGCTGTGGGTGGCAGCGACACTCGTCCTTGTGGCCCCGGAGCTTTGTCTCTCAGTTTAGAAAAGTCCCTGTTTGGGGTTCAAGATGGAAAACAGTCTTTCCTGAGCGGCCTTCCGGACTTGTCACAGGGAGCCCAGCGGCCCTATGGTGTCTTCTACAGGGTGGGGACCTGCCCGCCGACCCTGAGCTCTGGAAGAGTCTCTGAAGAGTTTGGCATCCACAGAGTTTCTATTAAATAAGTCTATGATGCCAACAATAAAGAATAAGGAATATAGACCAAGCCCTTAAAAGTCACCCGACCACCTGTGAAGAGGATTTGGGACAAGTTCTGGATTAAGACACGAAGGTCAAAGGAAACAAGTTTCTGATAGGACTCGACCACTAAGGAAGGTTTTAAGGACTCTAGAGAGAGAACACGTGTCACTTTGACCCAAGGTTTCTGAAAGCTGAACCCACTGCCAGCAGGGCCTTTGGTGCAGGGGACGTGGGCTTGCTGCAGGGAGTCTCCTGTGGCCAAGCAGTGAGACAGTCCTGTGGCAGCCAGCAGGCAGGGCCCTAGGAACGCAGCAGGAGAGGCAGGCACCCGGGGCTGAGTGCACTCCCCTTGAGCACTGGCAGGACATCAGCGAGCAGGGACTGGGGCCAGGACTCACTCTCTAGGATGTAGGGTTGGGGTGCCCGGAAGGAAGGGAGGGTCAGAGGAGCCAGCAGAGCAGCTCTCTGCAGGGAAATGAGGACCAGGTGACCCTCCCCCAGGACAGCATGGGGGTGGGAGGGCCGGCCCTGGGGCACCAGCACGCCCATTCTGCAGGGGAGCTCTTGCTTATATTTTCCCTGCTCAGCGACCACCGTGGGGCAACAGGTTCAAAGTTACCAGGAAAAAGAGTGAAAGGCCTGGTGGCTTACGGCCCACTTGCAGGGTTTCCAACATGTTTGTTTATTTTGTACCAGGAGAACAGGCATGGAATGTGGACATGGACACGTGGAGGGGGCCGAGGGGGCCCTGCCACAGGGCTGGGCCCGGGAAAGACCCAACTGTGGGATCAGAGAGGGAGGGCAGGCCCCGGGCCACGAGAGCACGTGCAGGCCACGTGGCACACAGAGTTCAAAGGGCAGGCAGCTGAGACTGCCTGACCCAGGATGGACACTGCCTATAGGGCCGGCTGGCTGGCAGGGCTTGGTGGTGGTGCTGGGTGCTCTGGAACCGTGGTCGGTGGAAACTGAAACACACGAGGCTATTAACACTGTAATTAATGCTGTCCTTGCTCCTAGGCCAGTGGGCGCGCCCTTTCTCTCCCGGGAAGACCGGCCCCACCTGCCCTGTCCACAGCACCTCCTTGGCCACAGCAGTCTGCCTTCAGTTACCCTTGCAAGCCACCCAACGGGCTGCAGAGAGCAGGCAGGAGACCAACACCTTGGGAGGCCGCGGCCCAGTCTCCTCTGGGGCTAGTCGATGATGCCTTCGGGCCCAGGAACATCCAGGAGTCCGTGGTGGCCCACGTGGTCTCAGCAGCCAGGAGGAAGGTGCTTCCTGGGTCCCCAGGGGGCTGGAGAGAGAGGCTGCCGCACACCCAGCCAGCTCACATGGTTGCGTCTGGGAGACAGGAGCACCCGGTTGCCGCCCTCGCCAGTAGCAGCATGTCCACCAGCTCCTGGTATGGCCCTCAGTCGCCATATGCATGTCGTGGGCAGGCATCCAGGGATGACTTCGAGATACAGTCCCTGGAGACCAGGTCTGACTACTGCCTACCAGCAGCCGGCTGCAACTACAACCCGCAGCCGCGGGCATGGAGACGGCAGTGGAAGTAGAGGACGCACAGCGGCAGCCATCACCCTGTGGCAGGCACGTGGGCGCCTCTGCTGTCCTGCAGGGTGGGCTCTCTCCCAACCCCATTGGATCCTGTGGCCTTTCCTGAGCTGGTGCCTGACTGCGTACTCACAGTGTGTCTCACTTCACTGCCGGCACATGGAGCATGTCGTGGAAGAAAAAGTAGATTTTGCACTGATGTTCTGGGACTCACATGTCACTCAAAATCTTAATTCTGTTGACAAGGGGCAGTCTCTGCACACCACCTGCCCAGAGAAGGGGCAATAAGGGCTGTCCTCCAAGTGCCTTAGTCCAGGAAGAAACTGGCAACACGTGTGCTAATCACTAGCTGCAGTAGAAGAGGCACTTGGGGGGATCTTACAAAAAGATGCAAATGAGCAAGGATTGCATACTAGAGGATCTCCTTGGTATCCTCGATATGTCCCTAGTCTTTCTCTGAAACATTTTTAAGTCTAACAAAATTCACACTTTATAGAAGACTGACACATAAGAGTTCGCAGAGGCACATAAGAACAAGACTCTGCACGTTTCAGGTGGGCTTTTGAAGTGAAGGGTGTAACGGGTGGAAAACAGAAGGACTTGGAGGTAGACTGGTCCTCACCTGTTTGAACCTGGAAACCGGACACAGGAATGGACCCCCGGTTCAGTTGTCCTCAAGGGTCAGATGGGAGGGCTATGGTCTGCTCTGAGGTCCCCACTGGCTCTGATGCCGGAGAGTCTCCCCCAGCAGAGCACCTGTGATGCATGGCTGGGTTCAGGAGCAGGATGGGCAGGAAGGCAATCGAGGTCACTGAGGGGTCCTCCGGGTCCCAGCAGGAGTCTCCAGCGGTGGGTTTGTGTCACGTGTGAGGTGGAAGGAGGGCTAATGTGCAGAAGGAAACCGTGAGTGGGCACCAGGATGTGCAGAGGAACGTGCTGACGTGCAGCAGAGGGGACAGCTACTGGGTGACAGAGAATGGGCTATGGAAGGCACAGAGCGGTGCTTCTCTGGGAAATGGCCACTGGACGTTCAGAGGCAGTGAGAGAGCTGCGGCCAGAGCCTCGTTAGCACACAGGGTGTGGACCCCGTGCTTCTCCTCATGGCCATGAGCACCAGGTGTCCCCCACGGTGAGGTCCAGCCCTCTATGGCCTTAGCAAGTGTCCAGTCACTGAAAGTCTGGAACTTTGAGGGTTCACACCTGTGGCGAGCTTGCTTGTGGTACTTTCAACGCCCGAGACCTCTGCCTGCTGGCTTCTTGTCACGTGAAAGTATGTTCCACAGACAGGAGCTGACTAAAAGTGCCAGGGCACAAATGATCCCCACCTGGAAGCAGGAAGAGAAGTTGAGGAATCAGCAGGCTCCATCATGGGTGAGAGTAGCCAGAGGCTGCTCTGTCCAGTTAGGCAGAACAAAAACGATGCAAACTTTCCAAAGCTTTATTGTTAAATTATATTAAATGGATAAAGAGCTGATTCTCTCAAAGTATAAGATATAATTATTGGCTCCAAAGAGTTTTTACAGAATCCTAAAAAGCAATGTCTGGTGTATGTGTTAGTATGTTGGCGAGTTCTCTAGAACACGTGATGCTCTCTTGGTTTGAAATTTGTTATGGTGGATGAATCTCCTGGCATAGACAGTCTTAGGAGGTGAGGGACTTACCTCACTTGCTAGGTCAGGTTCTGTTTGTCTGCTTCTTCCAGAAGTGCTCATGTTATGTCCACTAGGTGCACACATGATGCTCACTGCTAGACTCGCTGCAGGGTGAGGGAGGCACAGGCCCCACACAGACCTGCCAAGGTGCACGTCACCTGGCAGACAGAGGCAGGGGTCACGCAGGTCTCTCTGACGTCCTGTGGTCTGTCAACAGTCGGAGCTTCGAGAGGCCACTCTGCGGGACCACTGTCTCCGTCTCACAGAAGCTCCCGGGACTGAGAAGCAGGACTGAAGCTACGCCTGCCCCACCGAGGTCCGATTCTCCCGGCACAGATTAGGTCATTGTTTCTCACAAAACTGGACACAGACCGCGGTGGGCTCCCCGCAAGCAGCCATCACGGGGGAGAGGCGTGTTCTGTGCACCTGCATACCTTCTTGGGACATCGCGACGTCATCCCAGGGCCACTCGTCCAGCACTGGCTCGACCCTGTGTCTGAGCGTGAGTCCCCGTGTGTGCGCAGCATCTGGCACGATGGTTTACATCTGCCGACAACTCAGAGTTGGTACCTGCATGGCTGGCCTCCTGCCGTCCACCTCAGATGGGTCTCGTGCTCGGCCACAACGCATGAGAGGGAAGAGTCGCCATGTCAGGACTGACAGGTGCTCACAGCCTGAGCTTCAGACAGACGCGCATCACGTGGGCTTAGTTATGATGAGCAGAATGGTAGGGACGTTGCTTTTTTAAGAAAAAGTAGATTTCCACACTAGATTTCTATTCAAAGTAGAAGTAATGACACTATTCACACATTTCTATTAAAAATTAAAGATGTGTTGTTCTGCTAGTAAGAGTGTTCACCCCAAAATGCTGTATCTAAAAGAAGCACACTGAAAATCAAAGTCAGCAATAAACACAACTTGAAAATGAAGACAAGGGGTCTCCTCTTTCCTCACAGAACCACTTGAGTCACTGTTTACTCCAGCGTTTACGCCCAGCTGTGGCCCATTTCTGAGGCTCCTGCTGCACACCCACCTCTGGACTGGGCAGCTGAGGAGTGCTGCATCCTGCAGTGTGAGGAGCCTTTATGCAGACAGGGCCACAGGCAAGGACACTGCAGTGTCCTGCAGGGGAGACAGGAGCCTTTCCAGGCAGGCGGCATGGGGCCAGTGGGGGTCACCAGAGGCAGCCTGGGGGAGGTGGGTCCCGCTGAGCAGCCCAGCAGGCTCAGGCTGCAGACAGCCAGAGTGGTGGACTGCTTTGGGGGTGGAGGCTAATGAGAGATCTGGCTGGACATTCAGGTGGGGAGGTGCAGGAGCCCCCTGCAGCTGGACGGAGCACAGAGTCCTCGTCACTGTCACACTGAAAGCTCCTTTACAAACTCACCTGCAAAGGTCCTCAGTGCCGTGTGCCAGATGGGGAGGTTGGTCCCCACACACTTGGATGCTACTCTTGACTGAGTCCTTGCTGACCAGCATCCTGCAGCAGTTCTGGACCTGGCCCCTGCAGAGCCCTGACTGCTGGGCACCCATAGCCAAACCAGCCCCCAGGTCCTTTTGGCGTTTGCCCGCTGGGCTGGCTCAGCTGACCTCAGTCAAACTGAAGCCCTGATTCAAGTGAACTCTTTAAACTTTGGCTCTTTCTACACGACATGAAAACCATCTGCTGGAATGTGGGCTCCCTGGTCAGTCCCTGACCTGCTGCAAGATTTTAAGGCCTTTTAATTTAATTTATTTTTTTGGTAAATCTAAGTAAAATGGCTATTTTCAGCATTCTGATAAAAAAATATTTTTAAAGGGCCAGCATTTGAAAGGAAACTTCAAGAAGTTATAAAGATTTAAATGGCTTAAGCGATCCTAGCAGGGCTGGGTGCCTTCTCGGTCGGAGCTTGCCCAGGTGCATGAGGCTGTTCCCACCCCAGCACTGTAGACAGAGGGGCGGAGCGCAGCAGAGATGGACCACTTCAGGATGCTCATGCCTCTCTGGGAGACCCTCAGCGCCGAGTGGACCGTGAACTTCCCAATATGGTGAGAGGTGGGCAGCATCAGCTCCTGATGGAGCTCAGCTAGGAGGCAAGGAGGCTGGGGTCCCTGGCCAAGCTCCCCAGGAGATGGCCTTGAGGCCAGCCAGCTGCCCTCACTAACAGGAGCAGCTCTCCACTTGGCCCCGGGAAGCCCTGGGTCTGGGTGTCCTTCCACGGCAGAGCAGAGCTGCCCACAGGCAGCTCGTAGTTTGCAGCATGTAACTCACCACTGGGTGTCTCCAGTCCCTTCTAGAGGCTGGGTCATCCACGCAGGCCCTGGGGAGGGATGCCCAGCCGTCTTCTCTGGGGGCCTGACTACAGGGATGGGCCCCGCAGTGCCTTCTTCCTCCTGGACACTGCTGCCACCTTATCAGCCTCCAGCAAGCTCTGCCCCTAGGGGAAGCGCCTCCCTCTCCTCCAAGCATCAGCCTTGGGGGTTCTACTGCTCACGGGAGGTCTGAACGGCCTCCAGGAGGACCTGAGCAGTGGAGGTCTGTCCTAAGGTAAGGCTTGCGCGGCAGAGGCAGGGGGCATTTCCTGCTGCTGCCCAGTGTCCCTCCTGGGAAAACTCTGTGGGGCGACTTAGGTGGGAGTGCACTCCTGGGGCCTTCCCCGACTCAGGACCCCCATCCAGGCAGGACTGGACACACAGCCATGCTCACACTGCCCCTACCCACACCCGGACGCAGGAGTCTGCAGGAGCTTCACAGCTGCCTCCTGGCCTTCAGCACTAGCCTGGCTCAGGAGCTGGGCTTGCTGTCCTTCCTGCTGAGCTACATGCCACTCAGCTCAGCCCTCTGCAAGACCAGGGCAGAGGACAGGAGAATGACTTTAATCAGTCGGTCAGTCTGGGCACTTCCCAACTCGCAGGCAGAAAGCTGTCACTCCTTTCCTTACCCACCTGAGGGTCGCAGCTAGCACTCCTGAGTGGACAGCAGAAAAGCATAGCAGAGTGACCCATGGCACAGAGCCTTCCTGAACCATGCCCCAAGACTGAGGAGTCGTCCCTTTCCATGAAGAATGGGCAGCCGTGGGTACAGTGCCTGGAAAGCAGGTGGTGGGGGCAATGGGCAGAGTGGCCTGTGTCCCATGGGGCAGCAGGTCTCTGAGTGAGTCCCAGCGAGTTGGGAGAGGGCTTCCCCATCCTGTGGCTTGCTTCAAGCGGGGTGTTCCAGTGTAGGGCTCCCATCGTGGGGGAGGAGGATGGGAGAAGTGAGAAAGACCAGGCCCCCAGGGCCTCCGGGGCCCCAGGCTCAAGTGCTAGCCCCAGGCTGCAACCTCTGGGGGATTCCTGCTCCCAGCCCTGGGTTTATGATTTCACTAAATGTC